TTGAACAAAAATGTAACCTTAGTTTCTCTGAAGTAGAATTCCAAAATATTAATAAGGATTTTATCAGAACAAATAAATTATGGACAAATCATTTTCTAAATAGAATAACTACAACATTTTGTTTATCATATTTTGAAATAATTCTCGTAATTACTTGTGACAGACAGTAACATTTCCAAATTAAGTACAGAATATTTATTCTTTTTTGATGGTTTGATCATTATCATATTTACACAGTCAGAGAAATTGAGGGAGACTTGTTTCACATTCTGTGTCACTATAGCTTTGAACTAGGTTAAGACTGTGAAACTGGCTTGCCCTCTAAATACCTAGGTACTGCTTGCCCCTCCCACCCACCTCAGAGTAAAACTTCAGTGTAAAACTTCAGTGAAAATTAATGAAATTTTTACTGAATGCTATGTGTTGCTCGTAGGCCTGACACCAGTCTTCTGCTCAGGCAGGAGATTTCTAGGAAGATAGAAGAACAATTTCAGGATTGTCCTTAAAGCACCCAGGAAGAAATCAAGCAATCCCACTGAAACAGGGGAGCTCTTGGGTTTTGGTTTCTTTGGGAAGACACCAAACATAGTGGGACACTTCTTCAGAAGGACACAGAGGCAAAGACGAGAGACAAAGACTGGATAGAGAACACACACACGCGTCAAACTCAATGTGTTTGTCCCTTCAAGCACCACCTGCCCCACATGTGGCAGAATCTGCAAATGGACTTAGCTGTCATCTCAGAACCTTCTGAAGTGGAAACAAGTCATCCTCAAATACTAAGAAACTGCCTAAGACAACTATCCCACACAAAGTCAATTTAAAAACTTTGAAGTGACATGCTAGGTCAGTGATGTTGATTAATAGTTCTCAACAGTGTTTTCAAAAATGGCACCAGACAGCTGTGTCAAGGTAGAAAATGTATACAGTTCACAGTAAGAAAATAATTGAACGTTCATAAATGTTCTCAAGTGCCCTTCTGTGATAGCATCGAACTGATGTTTTCAATATAACATAATGTGAGAGAAGCTGGTTATTTTTAAGCTGAGGTTTATGCACTTGTTGAATCAATCGGATGGTCCTCACTGTCCAGTCAGAATTGTATTCCCTTGGCGAAAATCACGGTTCCTCAGAGCCCAGAACTTTCCTGAGGATCACTGTGGGGTTTTGTGGAATAACTGGTGCAGGCCTTTGCGGAACCTCTGGTCCCTAACGCTGTAGATAATGACATTGCAGCAGCTGTTGGACGCCGGCACCCAAAAGGCAAAGAAGGAGAAGTTACACCAGCGATAGCCGGCGACATTACCCACCACGAGGCCGGCGACCGGGCTTGAAAGAGGCGGTGAAGATCAAAGTGAGGATGCCGATGGTTTTGGCGGCTTTAATGTCTGAGAAGGAGGGGCGCAGGGAGGCGGGTAAGTTCTTCAGCTCGGCCAAGGACTTGCGCTTCTCGGAGTAGCGGCGGATGGTGCGGAAGGACAGCGCGTTGACGGCCAGAGTACCCCCGAAGATGGTAAAGTCAAAGGCGGGGAAGAGGAGGAGGATACTCCAGCTGGCGTGGGGGACAGCCCGGGCCACGAAGGCGTAGTTACACATCCGGCTGCATTCGCTGTACTCCAGGGAGAAGTGGCCGCTGAAGAGCAGGAAGCCGGTGAACCAGGACAGCAGGATGAGGAGTAAGGTCCTCCTCCGGGTGACGATGGATTCCTTGTGCAAGGGCTTCAGGATGGCCACACTCCTCTTCACCGACAGCAGGAAGATGGTGCTGATGGACACGAAGGTACAGCCGGCGAACACCAGGCTGCAGGGCTACCAGAGCTGGTCGCCCCCCGTGGCCGAGTAGCCGCTGTAGCACAGAGTGGGGCTGGCGCTCCCCAGCAACGCGATCTCCGTGTAGACGGAGAAAGGGAGTCCCACCGCCAGATCGGCCAGGGCCAGGGAGACTTTCAGGTACCCCTGAGGGGTGCGGGACTTCTTGGTCCTGAGGAAGACGGTCACGGTGATGAAGTTGCCCACCACCACCGCACAGGCGAGGAGCAGCATGAAGGTGAGCACCAGGGACCTGCTGCAGCCCAGCCAGGCCGCCTCCCTGCCGTTCGAGCACCTCCTGTCGGACATCCAGCCAGTCCCCAGCGTCAGGATCCTCAGGGAATCCGGCACCACACTGCGCTCTGAGATAATAAGGTGTAGAGCTGGATGAACACAGCAGGCCAAGCAGCATCAGAGGAGCAGGAAGGCTGACGTTTCGGGCCTAGACCCTTCTTCTACTCTAGCTCAGTGAAGCACATTAACCTGTGAAAGAGGAACCAGAGACGTTCAGGTTAGCCATCCATTAGTCTCTCCAAACAGCAAAAAACGTCCTGAACATTAACAACAACAAAAACAGAAGTTCCTGGAAAAGCTCAGCAGGTCTGGCAGCATCTATGAAGAAAAAATCAGAGTTAACGTTTCGGGTCCGGTGACCCTTCCTCAAAACATTAAACTTGGAGAAAGTAAACAGGCACATCACTGTCTCTCGCTGTCGTACACACATAATGCAAGAAAATAATTGCTGAAGGTTTGTGCTGTGTTCATTGTATGGCGACCGTTTCCAAAAGCTATGTTACTGTAGACGATTTAAGTGAATGCACCACGTTATATCAGCAGTGATGTAAAATAATGATTTTTTAAAAAAATCAATTTCCAATTTCGAATGCTATGGTTTCATTTTTTTTCGAGTCATGAAGTATTTTATTATGTTGCGACAAAATCTTAAAACCATTATCCACATTCATGACACATCTTTTAAATAAAACACCAACAGCACCAACTATAATTAGGTAAAAAGATGTTTCCACATATGCAACAAGGAGATAAACTGAGGTGTATACACTTACTAAATATTTACAGCAACAACGATGCAGAAGAACATCATAGTCAGAACGATTTAAGGACAAGATGCAGTGGATACGGGACACCTCAAATATTTAACCGAACTGAACGCCTTTCGTGTACAATCCTTGTATTGTTTCTCCGAGAAACTGTAGTCACGTCCTCACTATGTCTACTGTTCTGTTTCGATGTGATTACCGTGTATAACGCTTAAATTTAGTTAACTGCCAAGGCAGAAGAACATAATACTGAATTCGCATCTGCTGCCTTTCTGTTACTGGTTTTGGGTCAGTTTCGCAGGTCACCTCTAGGATTTCTATTGTGCATGTTATGGCACATTGTTTTTGAGCATAAATGTTTCACGCAGTCCAATCTCCCCCAAATAGGCGACAGCCGCTCCTGCCCGGTTGCTGTGATTATAAGCGAAGTGTCAAAATAAGTGAACTCTTCATTTTTTGTGACCTATATACCTGAAAGAGGAGGGGAGGCGGTTGGAGCGTCCTGGGGAATGAGCACGAGGAGTGAGAATCATCGGACACTTCTTTCCAAGAACCGCCATTGACACGATGGGCCCAATCACCTTCCTCTGTGCTGTAAGGGGTATAAGATTCTAAAATAGAGCTGATCTTTTTAAAAATCCAGTCTCCTTTACTTGATTTACTTTTGTAAAACCCTGGAGATTTTCCTCTGTCTCCAAGCCAGTAAAGATATAACCAGTGTTTATAATGAGACAGTGCTGAGGACCTACCTGTTATGTGTGGAGTTAGTGGGACCAAGTGCCGGTTATTGCCAGCAGTTAGTGCGATGAAGTGCCGGTTATTGCCAGCAGCTTGGTACGAGTGTAAAACCAACGGGAGCCATGTCTCGGAGCTTCTTGAATCTCGTGTCCACCGACTGCAATCCCCCGTCTTTCTGCAAAACCCTGAGCTTCTCCTCCGTCTGACGCAAGTCAGCATCATTCTGCGCACTCTTTTGTCTAGATAACAGGTATTCCTCCCTCAGGGTTAAGGTGCCTCCACGTTAATGTAAGTAATTTTCAGAAACATCATATTTCCGGCCGTGCAACTGGAGGCAACTTTCCACCGATTATTCCAATGGTCGAATAGACGCGTGGAAAGTTGGAATGTAGACCTTTGAGCACTCAGTCCCTGCCTCCTGCTTTGGTTTTCCTCAGCAATAGCAGTATCTTCTTGACATACTCCACTGGTCAACATTAGTCAAGTATATCCAGTTTTTTAAAAAGAGAGCTCTGACGGATGATATAACTCTTGGCTGGAATTTGTAAGTAACCAGGATAAATTTCCTAGTCACTTGCTCCATGGAATGAGGGGGAAATCCCTCACTGAAAACCTCATTATTTTTTACCTTATTTTTCTAATTAACCTGTTGAGGGATGTTGTTACACAATTGAGGAGCAGGTAGGACTTGAACCCTGGCCTCTTAGTTCAAGGACACTAAGAAGACTCTAACTCAAGTATCAAAGGTCAATACATTCTGACCCCGCTTCAATCCTCTGCTCCATTGACAGCGAGAGTTACTTAATTATCATTTGAGGTAAATCGCTATAGAACCCTGGAGAACATGTAATTAAAGGCACTGAGTTAAGATGAAATGTTGGGCACCTTATGACTGATGATAGTGGGAGAGATTATTTTATGAATAAAGGCTAAACAGTTTGGGGTTTCTGCTCACTGGATTTTGGAAGAATGAAGAGATCTCATTGGAACGAAAAGGGGCTTGACAGGGTATATGCTGAGATGATGTTTCCCCTGAGAGTCTGTGAATAAAGGGCATAGTCTCAGAATAAAGAGCAGTGATGGCTGAGAGGTATTATCACTAGACTGCTAATCGAGGGACCTGGGTTTGAATCCAGCAATGGCAGAGGATGGAATTTGAATTCAACAAATATCTGGAATTGAGATAACCATGGAATTAATCATAACCATGAATTCATTGCCAATTGTCAGGAAAAACCCATCAGGTTCACTAATGTCGTTTAGGATAGAAACCTACCTTCCTTACCTGGTTTGGCCTACATGTGACTCCAGACAGCAATGTAGTTGACTCTTAACAATCCTCTGAGTAATGAATGATGGCCTGGCCAGCAACACCCTCATCCTGTGAATGAGTAAAATGAATTAAGACTGAGATGAGAAGGAAATTCTTCTTTCAGAGGGTTGTGAGTCTTTGGAACTCCCAAAGAGAGCTATGGGAGCAGAGTCCTTGTGTATATTTATACTGAGATAGCTAGATTCTTGATCACTAGGGGAATCAAGGATTATGAGGAATGTGGATGTGAGGAATATTGGATAAGTCATGATCCTATAAATGGCAGAGCAGGTTCCAGGAGCAGAATGGCCTACTCCTGTTTTTATTTCTTATGGTGTAATGATGATAATGTGATCAGTTCCACCTTCCTCAAAACTGCTGCTCAGCTGGTATGGCTCCTGCCTTGGAATTGATGTTCTGGGGTCAAGTCCAGTTCCCAGTGTTTGAGCACAGAAATGAAGGCTGCCACTGCAGTGCAGTCCTAAGGAATACTACACCACTGGAGGTGCCATCTTTCAGATGATGCATTAAGCTGTAGCTCCATCTGCCTGCGCAGGTGGATACAAAAGATTAGTTCCTGATTTACAGCATCTGCAGCTCTTTCAGTTTTTATTAAGAATGTAGAATAATCAGGTCAGCCATAATCCTATTGAATGGTAAACAGGATCAAGGGACCAAAGATCCTACTCCTGCTTGTTCGTAGAAAACAGAAAACTATGCATATAATTGAAATAGTTGGATTTCTGATTTTAAAGAGACTTGATATTTTCAAGAGCCTGAAGCAATGAACATTGAAGAGTCTTAAAATTCAGGAAACCTCTGAAGTGATTGCTGATCGTCATGGCAGCTATATTATTTTAATTCAACTGATTGGAATTTTATTTCTTTCAAGTGCTAACTTGCACTGAACTTACTGCCCTATTGTACATATCATGATCCGTAATGCATACGTGCCACATTTACAGTGCACATTAAAAATCCTTGTTGCTCACTGCTACTATAGCTGTGCCCTGAAGCATGCTAAATTTCTTGAATCACTGCCACAGATCTTCCAGCTATGATAGTATAAAATGACATCCTCCCACTTACATTTTCATCAAGCGTGCAGCATTTGTCACTAAGATGCAATAGGAATATAGAAATTAGGAGTAGGTCATTCAGCCCCTCATACCTGTTCAGTTATTCATGTTTGATCCAATTGATTCAGTTTCATGTCTTCACTCCTATTACCCCCACCCACTCTCAGAACCCTTGACACCCTTGTCAATCAGTAGTCAATTAAGTGGCTTGGTGGTAGACATCATGACACTTTGTAAGTACAATTTGCATATATTGGCCAAGTAAAGAAAATTGTATTCGTAATAAATGGAAGGTGAATTCTTGATCTGAACAATTTCAGTGAAAACAAACATCGCAATTTTACTTATAAAGCATAATATTAAATTTTTAAAAAATGTTCAGGAAAATGTTTCAATGTAGATCAGTGTCATTTTCTATGAATTGATCTTTAAGCAAAAATACTAGTCTCTTTAGTTAAGATATACATGGTTACATAACATTAAAATGCTCTATTCATCTTGATAATGCTTTATTGTGCATACAAAGAAAAAAATGGTATTTTTCAATGAAGTAAGAATTTCATAAGCATTGATCACAGTAAGAACAGATAAACTACAGAACTTGAAAATATTTCGTAAGTGTTTTTGATCACTTTCCAAAAGAATATAATTGTCTTTGCTGAACTAATCAAAATTCTTGATATGAATACTCCTCAACAGGCATCTTAGCTGGCTATTGATAATATCTTTAAAATTAACAAATATTATTTTATGAAGTTCATAGAATCCCTACAGTGTGGAAACAGGCCATTTAGCCCATCAAGTTCACACCGACCCTCCAAAGACCATTCCACCCAGACTCAGCCCTACCCTATCCCTGTAACCCTGCATTTCCCCTGGCTAACCCACCTATGCTGCATATCCCTGGACGGTTTGGGGCAATTTTGCATGGCTTATCCACCTAAGCTGCACATCTTTGGACTATGGGAAGAAACTGGAGCATCTGGCAGAAACCCACACAGACACAGAGAGAATGTGCAAACTCCACACAGACAGTTGCCGGAGGCTGGAATCAAACAGAGGTTCCTGGTGCTGTGAGTCAGCAATCTAACCACTGAGCCACTATTGTGTTTAAGCTTCTTTAGGGTTTCTAAATAGATTAATACGTACACTCTTAACAACCTAAAAGAATAAGAACAAAGCCAATTTGAT